GTGACAATTTTTTTGATTTCGGTTATGAGTTTTGACAATTTTACACTAAATGTACGTTTTGGTTTTATTGAAAACTAAAAAAGGATCACTCAATTCAGATACACATCTCGTCATTAGTTATTTTTCTTCTTTTTATTATTAAAATTCAAAATAACTTCTTCAGTTTGATAATGTCCGGTATATGTTTTTTTTCTTTCGATTTTCTAGTTTTTTGTTTTACTCCATTATTATGTTCTTTTTTCCGAGCATATTGAACATCTAAAAAAACCCAACAATTATTTTTTTCTCATAGTAGGTACATTGTCCAATTATGAATTAATTTCATCCTATATTAATTTCATATTTATTTAATATCTTTTTTAAAGTACACATTTACACAAAAAAAATCATAGACCAATACCATGCAATACCCTAATCCTAATACAAAACATACGAAAAGAAAAAACAAATCTAAAAAAACGACATTTGATACGTTACAAACCGACGACCTAAACGAAAAAGAATACCTACGAGAAAAATTACAAAAATAATATTTTTTTTCAAACAAATAAAAGAAAGAGAACATGCGGTACCTATTAAACTTAACTGAGCGTTTTATAACAAAATGAAATGTAGACAACCATATCTTCTGGGTGTATGCTTAACATTTAACCTTAAAATCTAATACATACAATATTACAGAATATTTATATTTCTCCAATAGTGTTTTCAATGAAAATATACAGATGAACGTATGTACAATTATTTACAAGAAGATCGGTCAAGGAACGCGGGACCAAATCATGTTTGCCATAAATTTCGATTAGCTCATCCAACAACACAAGGCGCTGAATGCCGAAGGATGGGCAGTCAAAGAAAATGTGAGCTAAGGTTTCTTCTTGAGAATTGCAATGAGTACATTGAGAATTATTCACCATTTGCAAAGAGATGGAAACTAAGCCGACAATGACCAAACCTTAAGCGAAAAATCGTCGTATAGAATTTTCTATTCAAAAAGCTATTTGATTTGCAGAACCATGGCAATTTGTTTACATCAACATAAAGAGGTGTGTACCATAGACCTTTATCTGTAACCTGCACTATATAATTCCAATGGGTTTGCCACTCTTGGCGCATTCTTTCCTTTAGCAGAACAATCAAATCTGTATAAGGTATAGACATCTTCTGAGTATTGGTTTCAGTAGCTAGAGTATTGATAGATTTTGCTAGATAATCTGCATTTTCATTACCTGTTACACCAATGTGAGACGGAACCCACATGAAACTTACAATTATATTATCAACACTGTATAGATCATTCATCACCAGACTTCTTTAATAGTATGAATAATGTAATAGGGAAGATGCATATATAATATTTATGAAAATTTTATGATTAAAATGTTCTTCCCCCATTGCTGCCGAATCAATCTTAAGAGAAAACGTGAAACCTTGTACTAGTCATTTTCATTTTAAACATGTTGACTGCAAAGATGTAATTAAAACGTTTCACCAATTAAATAAAAAGAAAACCACGGATCTGTGGGGCAATTCCGTTGATGTTTCTAAATCGGTAATTGAGACAATAGCTCCTATTCTAGCTTGCATATTTAATGATTGTGTTGACTGTGGTGTTTTTCCTGACCTCATGAAATACAGTAAAATAACTCCTCTGCATAAAACGGGAAGTACATCAGACCCCACAAACTTTAGACCAATTTCTGTGCTACCCACCTTTAGTAAAATTTTCGAAAAAATCATGTTAGATCAAATGCAATCACATTTTAATAAATATAATATACTTCACTGTAAACAATTTGGTTTTACACGGGGTCGTTCAACAACCGATGCCGGTGTTGAACTTATACAACAAATTTTTGACGCCTGGGAGAACTCGCAGGACGCTCTAGGTGTGTTTTGCGACTTGTCCAAGGCTTTTGATTGCATTTTTCATGAAACATTACTCAGGAAACTCCACCACTATGGATTTAGAGATACTGATCTGGATTTTATTGCGTCATACCTGATGGATAGGATTCAGAGGGTTGACATTAACGGCAATAAGTCTGCGGGTTCGCCGGTTAAAATGGGTGTTCCGCAGGGCTCAATCCTTGGTCCTTTCTTATTTTTAATTTATATTAATGACTTACCTTACTACGTTAGAGATAAGAATGAGATAGTATTGTTCGCGGATGATACATCACTTTTATTTAAACTCAAACGTAAGGAAACAGTTATTGACGACGTGAACAGTTGTATCTCTAAGGTAGTCCACTGGTTTAATGTTAATAATTTATTACTAAATGAAGGAAAAACGAAATGTATTAAATTTGTATTACCTAATGTAAAACAGGTAAAAACCAGTGTGAATGTAAAGGATAGGAATATGGGCCTTGTAGACACCACAGTATTCTTAGGGATTACTTTAGATTCTAAGCTTCAATGGGGCCCACATATTGATAAATTGTCAAATAGACTTAGTTCTGCAGCATATGCCGTAATGAAGATACGCCAGTTAACGGATGTAGATACGGCCAGATTAGTATACTTTAGTTATTTCCATAGTGTAATGTCGTACGGAATTTTATTGTGGGGAAACGCCGCCGACATTCAAACTATTTTTGTGCTGCAGAAGAGAGCTATTCGATCAATTTATAATCTTAAAGTTAAGGATTCCTTAAGAGATAGGTTTAAAGAATTTGGTATAATGACGGTCGCATCACAATACATTTACGAAAATTTATTACTTGTAAGAAAAAATATTAATTTGTTTCTTAAAAACAGTGATGTTCACACACTTAATACAAGAAACAAAAATAAACTAACTTTACCTGCTACTAGGCTTCACAAAATCAATAATTCATTTAAAGGTCTTTGTGTTTGCTTATACAATAAAGTCCCAAGCAATATCCAAGAGTTAAGCATAAATAAATTCAAAGATAGTATAAAAAAAGCACTTATTAAAAAAGCTTATTACAAAGTGTCTGATTATATTACAGACAAAAATGCTTGGGTTTGAACTGTTCCAATCATTCCAACAGGTTTTCTATATTAAATAAATCATGATTGTATTGACGCTGTAACAACATAATGATTTGTAAATGTTGTTACATTATGCTTTTAATGTTGTGGAGTTTTTTTCGCTCGTTTTTCTCCGCAGCTAAAAAATATGTCCAATAACGAGTGGTAGGGAAAAAAAATGTTTGGACGATTCAAAAGTGTTGTACTATACATCCAATTTGAATAAAGATATATTGATTTCTGATTTCTTAAAAAAATATAAAAGAAATGCCACTGCAACGTTTTTATTTTACATAATGTTGTTTTTTAACAATTATTACGAATTAAAAATACTTGAAACAGAACGTATTTTAAAACACCAATCAGCGTTTAGTGACGTCACTCCTGTTATGACAACTTCTTTGAGGTTATGGTTGTTAAAGTAAATATTATTTTATGGGAATATTTATTGCGTTTTTTTACATTTAATAAAAATGGAAGTTGCGTTTATCAAAGCAGACTCCAGGAATTTACCAAGAGTTAGCGTTGACATGGTTATAACTTTTTTTGTCCAAAGTGCAGAGTTTTTAAGTGTAGAAATGAAAGGGACTAAATTACTACGGTATGCAAAAATCGTAGTTGTTAAACTTCGTATTTTATTCAGCGGCTTCTACAAATCTTACGGCGATAATGCAATCGGCTATGTCCAAATTAAAAGAGATGGAGAATTATGTACAGTAAAAGGTCGAGTTCTCCGGAACATAAAGTACATAAAGAAGGTTATCGTGTTACAGTTATTTTTAATGAAACGCAAAGCTTGGTTCAGTCCTGCCAATGTGAAGATTGTGCCACACATTTTAAACTTTATCTAATTTTCAACGTCATTCTCCAACTGTAAAATTAAAAATATGTTATAGACAGGTTTTGTAAGTATTAGGTAGGTTACTAATGCGTTTTTACGTACAAGCAGATTAATTAAGCATATAACAAGTATATTCGCCGACTTACGTCAAAGTGATCTTCTCAGCATCGAATAATGGTATTTGGAGAATAATTGACATTTCTCTTCGCAGCTTGAAACCACTTTTTTCAGTTTTGGGTCAGAAGTTCCAGTCAAAAACAATTTATTTGGGAACTTTGTTGAAGTAGATTGGCACAAAACATGAGTCAACATGGTTTTTTTTTTCGGAATATTAGTGGTATTGTTATGATCACATGATGTTGATGGATAGTCCATTTTAAATTTTTCAAAAAAATATGCAAAACTATGAAAATTTAAAGCCAGCAACGAACAATTACGACCAGTGACAGACAGGAGTGACGTCATCGCAATCATAGATTCGTTTTCGCGCGAAAATTTAAATTGTCAATTTAAAACCGCATTTTTTCCGATAAATCAGTGTTTTAATTTTTTAATATATCTGTGGTTTATTCTACATGGAATTCTTTAAAATGAAAACAAAAATAAAAATATTGCATCTTCCCTATTGGTGTTTGCATTAACAGGAAATCTGTGAAATTTTATTTTGTTCATTTGCAAAAATTAAAGGATTAATTATCATACAGCCTTGTCTCAAGCCTGATCAGTATAATAAAATCTTTTATTTTAGGCTTTCAGTGATTTGTTTTGATAAAGATTATGGCCAAATATGTCATAGTTTGAAGAAGTTTAGAAATAATATTGTTTATTTCAATGTACTTACACAAATATTTTGTTGTGTATATTTGTTCATTTATTTTGTAAAACGGAACATTTTGCTTTTAAACAGACATGAAGTCAATTTTTATACTTATAAATAATTGATTATTTCACGAAAGTTGTATGAGAATAATAAACACGTAATAATTAATACAAAAATATTGTAAAGTTACTGGCTAGTGCGAAATATTTATACACGTTAAGGGCAGTTTCTTAGCCATGTCCTTTAATATTGTACTTAATTAGAAACGAATAAAAAACATAGTAAGTAATGTGCGCTGTTTCGATTGAAATAAAGTAGGCCTCCATGATCGGTACCCACGTCGGCGGCCAGCAGCGCGTGCAGCGCGTCGTGGCGGGCGGAGGGTCGCGCGTGGTCGGGCAGCGGGCGGCCGGCGGCGCCGCGCCCCGCTAGTGCGTCGGCCGCCGCCAGCACCAGCGCGTCGCCCGCGCACGTGCACACCCGCCCCTCGCGGGCACCACCGCACCCCGCCTGCACGTGCGGCGCTAGCTCGCGTACCGCTCCACTGCTGCCACCTAGCGATCGTCATTTATTTTTAACCGACTTCAAAAAAGGAGGAGGTTCTGTGTTCGACTGCAAATATATATATGTATGTTCACTGATTTCCGACCGATTTATGGACCGATTTCCAAAATTCTTTTTTTAATCGAAAGAGTGCACTTCCGAGTCCCATTGAAACCAAGTCAGGATCTGATAGTGGAATCCAGGGAAATCGAGGGAAACCTTTAAATTTTAAAGACACGCACGATATTTTTTATGCATGTTCACCGATTTCTCCGTCAGTTGTTTACTTGGACGATGTAATTTTCACTAAAATGGATGAAATAAAAAGAAAATAACAAAAAATAAAACAATTTATTAATTTATTTTTTGTTTAATTTTTTTTATACTAGAGGATAACAGACCCATAAACTTAGAGAATGGACTGAGCCGTTAGGGATAACCCAACCAACGGTAAAGTCACAGAGTACCCAACTAGAATCCGTATAACCTATTTTAGTTTGAAATCGAAATCGCCAAGTTCAGACGTGCGGAGAGGACAAGCTGCGTTCTAATTGGACATAATGAGTGTGATGTCTAGGTTGGTCGACAAAGGACGTTGTTCAGCGTCCATACATAGTTAGCCTAAGAACCAACAATCATGAAATATTATTTTCTAGGTTCATAATCGTAAGTAAATGACTGTAAAAACAAAGATTATTGACGGACACTTCTGAGAACTTCAATTATTAGGAAAACTAAAATTTTTTTGAGGTTATGTTTAATATTCAATGAAACATAGGTCAACCTATGAATTTAGTATTAACTCAGTATGAAGTGAATTAATATTACACCTAGATAATTCATTTTATTCGGTGCGATTGTAAAGAATAACTATTAGGAAAAACTTGGTTAGGTAGGAATCATGAATAAAATAAAAACTGTAGTTTTAGTTCTTATTTACTGACTATTTTTCACATAGTTGTATCATATTGTTTATTGTATTTATTTGTATATCACATGTAGGTATATTGTGTAAATATGCAGCGTGAATGTATATCAGGTGTTCTTGAATAATTTGGCAGTATGATCCTCTCAGGATGTTGTGGCACAGGTTCACTAGCACTTGGTAGTAAGGGCTCTGCTCTTTGGTAACATCGATGGCATATTAGATAGCCGAAATAGTTTAATTAAAGGAAAAATAATCGCAAATAAACACACACAACAGGTAATCCGAAACGAGAATGCACTTTCCGGTTTATTAAACTACTCTTTGGAATCACAGATCACTATAAATGGTTTGGAATGCACGAATGCCACAGATTACTACGAATGCAAACTGCATGCACCAGAACCACAGAGTAACGAGTTTTATGCCGGCCCTTCACTTGACAACAGTTTGTCCTTGTCATGCTTAATAAGGAATGAAAAGGACACACTGATGTCATGATTGAAAATAGCAAATACGAATAGCCAAGTGAAGTGCCGGCATTAGGAAGTGTTTTATTTGCAGTGCTGCCATAGATTATGGTATTTATTTATTTATTTATTACCAAAAATATCACTCGCGCCGTTGCAAGAAATCAGCTATCTCTATCTAAATCTACTTCTCTTAGGCTACATTTTTAATATGATGCTCCGCTATGATACCGCTCAGTTTATCCCCACTCTATTCCTCTCCGCACACCGCCACTGCACACAGATCGATCCACTTGGCTCTGCGCGGCACATATTCGCACAGCTTCAATGGAAACAGGTGCCTAGTTTCCTACTTACAAGGTTCCCCTCTGCTCAATTCCACGCAGCTCCGCACTGCTCCGCTTCTGTAGAAACGCGTCTTAACAAGTTATACAAAGAAATTCAAGGAACGCTCAGTCCATTCTCTTTGGCTATAGTAGGATACCTAAAGCGCGGGTGCGGGTACAGCTGCGACGCCACCATGTGCTCCACCAGACCCGGCTCGAACTTCACCGTTGTATTACAAGGAAGCTCAGTCCATTCTCTTTGGCTATAGTAGAATACCTAAAGCGGCTGCGCTGGCGCCGACACTTCGCCACACCTATCCTCGCGCGTGAAGACGCAGGCACGGTGCGGGTACAGCTGCGACGCCACCAGGCGCTCCACCAGACCCGGCTCGAACTTCACCGTTGTATTACAAGGAAGCTCAGTCCATTCTGTTTGGCTATAGTAGGATACCTAAAGCGGCCGCGATGGCACCGACACCACGCCACAGCTTCCTCTCGCGCGTGAAGACGCTAGCACGGTGCGGGTCCAGCGCGATGAACGGCAGCGACGCCACCACGCGTTCCACTAGACCAGGCTCGAACTCCGCCAACCGTTCTATGAGTGCCTGTTCGACAAACAAAAATGATTTTTGCCTTAACAAATAAATTCATACCCAAATCTATATGCAATGACGCAGTGCAGAAGACAGGCGCAGTCTGCCAGTTTAAAAAACGTCGTGTGTGTCAATTCAAAGAACCAACTCGCGTTAACCGAGCGCGTCTAATTTGAGTCTCTATTGAAGAAATTTTAATTAATTTTGAATGCACCTGGGTGGGATCAACTAACCTCAGTGAGGTTAGTTTTTGGCGTCAGAACCTATTTTAGAGTTAACGCACATGATTGGTTTTTTTGACTGGTTACCCGAAAATTTTTAGTTTCCTGTGTCGTCTTTACGACAGATCTTAAAGTTCCTCAGATGCAGCTGGAATAAACGACTGAAGGTTAAAGTAATCGCTCTTTAGAGTTGCGCCCGGCACCCGACTATAGCTAGCACCACCACGCCCCGCGCGAAATTTTTTTTTGTAAAAGCTTTTATTGCAATGCCACAGTTTTTTTCCTTCATCTGTTTTCATGTCGCATTACATTTTTTATTGATATCAGAAAAATTCAGACCCTATCAACAAACATCGATGGTTCAGTGGTAGATAGCTCGCCTGTTGTCATGTCGAAGTGAGGGAACCAAAAGTCAAAGCGGTGCTAGTCGGATGCCGCCCCTAATGAACGATGACCTTTAATATGGCTTCCGAAGCGCAAGGGAACTAAAGATAGTAAACATTTTGTCCTGTTCATTCTATGACCAGACCAGCCTTTGCGAAGTTACTTAATTTCGACTAATTCAGCTAAGTAGAACAGCCTAAAGTGCCTTCCTAAGTATGGCGAAACTTGACATTATATTTGGTCGCCCATCTTGTGATCGACGATTGCGTGTTGCTTTACTTTCACAATAGCAGATCAAACTTACCTATTTACAAAAAATTTTGAGCAGTGCATTTTTTGACTAATAGACAATTATACAATGCACTTTTTTGTAATTATTATGTTAAAAGTGTGCTTAATTATGCTGTAATGTGTTTATATTGGTGAAGACCTGTAATTGGCTTTTTATTATTATTTAAGTTTTATACTCTTTTTATTAATAGCTCTTGATCTTCCAAAAAATAAATAAATATAAACTTTCACAATACCTAATAAATGTCTTGTCTGAAATTATGGGTCTCATAAGAAGCCTCAAGGTCACACAGCGAGTAATGGAGAGCGATGCTCGGTATTTCCCTACGCGATAGAATCAAGAATGAGGAAAACCGTAGGAAAACCAAAGTAACCAATATCGCTCGAAGGATTGTTCTGCTGAAGTGGCAGTGTGCGGGTCACGTAGCAAAAAGGACCGATGGCCGTTGGGGCGGAAAGGTTCTGAAATGGCGACCTCGCACCGGACGACGCTCAATGGGCAGGCCCCCTACAAAGTGGAACGAGGATCTTGTGAAGGTAATAATAATAATATTTTTTTATTTTCTCATACCACAATCTAAATAAGACTTACATGAAGCAATGGTACAATGTAGCAGACTGTGGTGGGCTGATACCTGAACTAGGAAAATTCCTGTATCACAGGTTATCAACCCTCCACCCCAAACAATGGTCAGAAAACTTATGAATTGTAGGTAGTGAAGTATTTTTTTTACAATCATGATGAGAAGTTTTGACACACACTATTATTTTAAGTTAAACTCTAAATAAATAACTACATAATACATTTAGGACATTTTATAGTTTAAGATTGCAATAGGGAAGATGCAATATTTTTATTTTTGTTTTCATTTTAAAGAATTCCATGTAGAATAAACCACAGATATATTAAAAAATTAAAACATTGTGATTTATCGGAAAAAATGCGGTTTTAAATTGACAATTTAAATTTTCGCGCGAAAACGAACCTATGGTTGCGATGACGTCACTCCTGTCTGTCACTGGTCGTAATTGTTCGTCGCTGGCTATAAATTTTCATACTTTTGCATATTTTTTCGACTTACGAAATATTTTTTTGAAAAATTTAAAATGGACTATCCATCAACATCATGTGATCATAACAATACCACTAATATTCCGAAAAAAAACCGTGTTGACTCATGTTTTGTGCCAATCTACTTCAACAAAGTTCCCAAATAAATTGTTTTTGACTGGAACTTCTGACCCAAAACTGAAAAAAAAGTGGTTTCAAGCTGCGAAGAGAAATGACAATTATTCTCCAAAGACCATTATTCGATGCTGAGAAGATCACTTTGACGTAAGTCGTCGAATATACTTGTTATATGCTTAATTAATCTGCTTGTACGTAAAAACGCATTAGTAACCTACCTAATACTTACAAAACCTGTCTATAACATATTTTTAATTTTACAGTTGGAGAATGACGTCGAAAATTAGATAGTTTAAAATGTGTGGCACAATCTTCACATTGGCAGGACTGAACCAAGCTTTGCGTTTAATTTAAAATAACTGTAACACGATAACCTTCTTTACGTACTTTATGCTCCGGAGAACTCGACATTTTACTGTACATAATTTTCCATCTCTTTTAATTTGGACATAGCCGATTGCATTATCGCCGTAAGATTTGTAGAAGCCGCTGAATAAAATACGAAATTTAACAACTACGATTTTTGAAGTTATACTACTTTAGGAGCGTTATGAAAAAATGATGAGAGTGAAATTTTTAGATGCGCGCGCATCCCTGTAACCCAAAAGTAACAGCATGAAGTTGGCCGCGGGCGCGTTATGAAAAAATCATGTGAGTGAAATTTCGAGATGCGCGCGCATCTCTGTAACACAATAGTAACACCATGAAGTTGGCCGCGGGCGCGTTATGAATGTTAGTGTCTAAACATCTGTTCGAAAGGTACTTTGAACGATCCACGGAGCTCCATAAGATGATCGCGTTGTCAAAAACAATGTTGGCACGCTCGTCGCCTCTGATCACTGTTTTCATATTTATAATATTTATCCACATGTTTCTAGTTTCTATATAGACACAACGTGTTTTAGTTACTTACAAGGGCTAATTACATATGGACTAATAACTTAAATTCAGTAGTGATTTTAATTGAATATTTTGAATATTTATTTAATTTTTCAAATTAAAACTGAACTTAATTGACTGTGTTAACTATCCTTTTCCAGTCCTTTTATTATTTTATTGTAATTATTAATTATTTGCATGCAATTAAAAAATATTTTTAATGATGCTAAAGAAGTATAACTTCTCACGCGCGTACATAAGTTACACGCATCCATTTTTTGCATACCGTAGTAATTTAGTCCATTTCATTTCTACACTTAAAAACTCTGCACTTTGGACAAAAAAAGTTATAACCATGTTAACGCTAACTCTTGGTAAATTCCTGGAGTCTGCTTTGATAAACGCAACTTCCATTTTTATTAAATGTAAAAAAACGCAATAAATATTCCCATAAAATAATATTTACTTTAACAACCATAACCCCAAAGAAGTTGTCATAACAGGAGTGACGTCACTAAACACTGATTGGTGTTTTAAAATACGTTCCGTTTCAAGTATTTTTAATTCGTAATAATTGTTAAAAAACAACATTATGTAAAATAAAAACGTTGCAGTGGCATTTCTTTTATATTTTTTTACCATTTTAATCATAAAATTTTCATAAATATTATATATGCATCTTCCCTATTACAATACAGGATTATTTATCAACTTTTAATATTTTTTCTGTTGCAAGATAATCAAAAGATTTTAATTTTTCTTTTAGAATTTTCTTTAAACCAGCTTTATTCATTTCAAGTATTCGGGATATATCATCAAAATAACTATAGAGAAACGGCTCAGTACAGCACATCTGACGTGGAGCGAATATTGAATTAAAATTCGGGACGGATGTTTAGGTAGCTAGGATGGGTCGATGGTTTTATGATGGCGAAGGATAGAATTATAAATAAATACTGCCTAACAGTAAGTAAATTAGCCTCCTGGTATAACTGGCGTGTCGGATATTTCCTGGGTTTACCTAGCTTGACTTTGAGAACAGCTCTCTGTACTCTTTCAATCTCCAAAAGATTGGTTTAAGCAGCACCACCCCAAACCGGAATGCAATAGGTTAGTAGGAATTGACAAAGAGAAAAATAGATTTTTATAATAAGCGTTGGGTCAGCTGCTTCACGAAGGTTTTTAAAAATGTGAAGCAATCTTCGTACTCTTTTGCTTAGGGATGAGATATGAGGTGCCCAATTGAAATTTTTATCAATTATGATACCCAGATATTTGTAGATATTAGTTTCATTTTAATAGGGACAATCAAGGGGGGGTCAATAGTATCGGAGGATCACGTTCTAGAGTGAGTTTTTACGTTAAAATTAATGAGAGGTTGAGTTGACCACCCTTAACATTTAGGGGGATGAAAAATAGATGTTGTCCGATTCTCAGACCTACTGAATATCCATATATAAAATCCGTCGAGCCGTTTCGGAGTAGTTTAATTACGCACACCGTGACACGAGAATTTTATATATTAGATAGATATAGAGCACAGAATTGTTTGAAAAGAATAGATGCGCTTTCTCCTTATCTTTTTAAAAAACCAATACATGCGTTGTAGTTGATATTAAGGTTATTTAATTTTAAATCAATATACCTGGGTTGAATCTGGACTGGGAGCTTTTGTTGCAAAATCCCCACGAACTGCCGCGTCACCTAAGGCTTCAACAAACGCATTTTCACTTGAGCAATGCTCCCATAAAGTAGTCCATAACTCGTTGCTGAAAATAAAAAGCACGGAAATTTATTTTAATCCATTTTAAAACACGTAATTGAGGCTATTAGGTTTTCTTTCTATACTAAGAAAAAAAACCGGCCAACTGCGAGTCGGACTCGCGCACCAAAGGTTCCGTACAAAACTGTAGATATATTGTAATAAATTATTAAAACAGTTTTTTTATTATATGATGTAATTAAAAAGGACATTGTTCAGCGTCCATACATAGTTAGCCTAAGAACCAACAATCATGAAATATTATTTTCTAGGTTCATAATCGTAAGTAAATGACTGTAAAAACAAAGATTATTGACGGACACTTCTGAGAACTTAAATTATTAGGAAAATAAAGTTTTTTTGAGGTTATGTTTAATGTTCAATGAAACATCGGTCAACCTACGAATTTATGAAGTGAATTAATATTACAACTAATTCATTTTATTCGGTGCGATTTAAAAGAATAACTATTAGGAAAAACTTGGTTAGGTAGGAATCATGAATAAAATAAAAACTGTAGTTTTGCTTCTTATTTATTGACTATTTTTCACATAATTGTATCATTTTGTTTACTGTATTTATTTGTATATCACATGTATATTGTGTAACTATGCAGCGTGAATGTGTATCAGGTGTTCTTGAATAATTTGGCAGTATGATCCTATCAGGATGTTGTGGCACAGGTTCACTAGCACTTGGTAATAAGGGCTCTACTCTTTGGTAACATCGATGGCATATTAAATAGCCGAAATAGTTAAATTAAAGGAAAAACAATCGCAAATAAACACACACAACATAATCCGAAACGAGAATGCACTTTCCGGTATAATAAACTACTCTGGAATGCACGAATGCCACAGATTACGACGAATGCAAACTGCATGCACCAGAAACACAGAGTAACGAGTTTTATGCCGGCTCTTCACTTGACAACAGTTTGTCCTTGTCATGCTTAGGTAGTTTTCCAATTACAGCACAAGAGCGCATTATGCGGCATAATGCTTATCGTTGAATGTTTCAACTACAGCAACGCTTCGCACAATCGAGCACTCTCAAAAGTAATGTTTTTGTGTGATGCGTGCAATCGTACCAACTCAGTGACAGAAAATTAACAAGTATTTTTTCTTTAAGTTGGCATTGATCGAAATGTTTTATTTATAAATTATCGTTTGTAATATTATTTATGTTGAAAATTTTTTAAAGCTTTCGTTTCATTGTAGGCTTTTTTTAAATAATCAAAGTTAATTCAAACTGTGTTTAAAAAAAATATAAGTATGGATGAAGGGAAAAGTCAATGTTTGTACATTGACTTTTTTTTTCAACACTGAACTTAGCGCACTCTGCTGGTGCATTTGAAAATTAATTCACGTTCCAATTAAGCATCAGCATAATTCGGCATTGAGCGCCACTGATTCGCATTATGCTCTGTAATTGGAAAACTACCTTAATAAGGAATGAAAAGAACAGACTGATTTCATGTTTTAAAATAGCAAATACGAATAGCCAAGTGAAGTGCCGGCATTAGGAAGAAAGATTGTTTTTTTTGCAGCGTTGCCATAGATTATACACATAAAATGGTATTTATTGTCTCAGATTATTTTTTAACTTTTTAATTTAGCTTACTTAACTGAAAGTGTCCGTCATAATCTAAATACTGATAATTATCGCAAAAAATATACTAAGAATTATCATAAATGCCAAATTGGTGTTGGTTCTTAGGCCAATTTTAACATTGTCCTTTACGGTTTTCGCAATTTTTCCTTTATCTGTAACTATAAGACGTTACTTCGTACCCAAATTTCAAGATTCTAGGTTCACGGGAAGTACCCTGTAGGGTTTGATTCCCGTGAGAGTTTCTAAAATTTGCGACATAAACGGCTATATCTTTTGATTGTTTTGGCTTAGAAGTTTGATTTTTTCGCAGCTCCAAGAGACAATAGACCTGAGTACTAGATATGAATTTCAGTTTGATACCTCCACGCGTTGCACCACACACCCTTGGGCAGGAGTTGTGTGCGTTATTTGGCATTTCCCGCCAAAGCCCCAAACATAAACATGAGTGCTGAAAAAGAGAAAACAGTACCCCAGGAGGGTATCTCGATTCGCGAAGAAGCCCTCACCAAGCCTAGCTTGGTCTGTCCTGCGTATTCTGGGGGGGACAACCAGCGCTCAAGGAAGGGCACAAGCCTGGACCTGTCTAGCCTAGCCGAGGCCATAACTTCAGCTACAACAAGCAACACAACACCTACACAAACACAGTGGACTGTGATCGCCCATAAGCGCCCCTGCAAAGGGAAGACTGCTATTGCGGCGGCCACCCACAAACACTCAAACAAAGGTTCGCAGCCCGAAGCCCAAAACTAAAACAGACAGCACACAGTCGGTCACCGCAGCAGTGGAAACACAGCCTGTAGAAATACAGGGGGCCGACAAAACAGACAACACAAACGCACACAAACAACCACGACGGAGACCGAAACCGAGGGGTGATCGTGGTCGGCGGATCGCTGCGCAGGCACCCACTGCTCCTGAAAAGGAGCAGCCTAGGATTGCGTGTGGCTCGGGCAAGGCAGCTTTTACGAAGCGGCCACGCCTGGACGACACGCAGTCTCCAAGGGGGGATGCCAAACGCGCGAAAACCGACGCGAAGACGAAACGTACGGTGAGCTACGCAGATGCGAGTAATTCGCATCTGAGAGTAGCGGTCACCACCGTCCCGCCGAGGGACCTCTCGGCTGAGCAGGCGGAACAGCTGAAGGAGACCATCGACGATGGGATCCTGCAGGCAGTTCTGACTCCGCAGTCTCCAGATTCGCAGGCTCCATCTTTCCGCGGGCGACCCTTCCTTTCGGACGGGGTGCTAGCGATGTGGTGTGAGGACAAGAACGCACTCAAGTGGCTTGAGCAAATGGTGAAAACCATCCAGTCTCCCATACCGAACACCACATTAACGGTCATTAGGTTGTCGGATGTGAAGAAGAACCTCAGAGCTGGGCTTCTTCTCCACACCTGAGTCTGCCAAACTGCAGAAACTCCTTTGTGCCCAGAACCCCTGGTACAAGGTCGAGTCGTGGCAGTGCTACGATATGACCGTTGATGACAAACCGGAGAGCAGTCCTAAGGAGAAGGTGGTCCACCTGATCCTTGGAATCCCCGAGGACCAAAAACCATCAATACTGGACAGGGAACGCCGTTTTGCACACATGTCTGGCAGCGGATACATCCGCTTTTTCCCGACAGACGAAGCAACAGTGGTTGACCCGACAGTAGCGACACCGAGTGCTACTACAGAGCAGGAAGGCGCTGCGATCCCGACCCCAACCGGGTCCGAGCGAGATGGAAGAGGAAGCAGGCCTGAGCTCTGAGGACAGCGTTAGCGACGAAGATGGCGTCCTTCGCAGTCCTTAGTAGCACCATCAACGTAATAAAGACCAATCTCCAGCACAATCAGATAGCGGCGGCCACACTACGCAGGGTGCTGGAGACAAACAACATGACCGTCGCCTTGATTCAGGAACCCTGGATCAGAAATAATAGGATTTGCGGTCTGAACAACATCGGTGGTAAGTTACTTTTAAACACGTCTATCGATAAACCAAGGACATGTATTTTTACACCCCAAGTCTATAAAAACAACCATGCTTAACCAATTCTGTTCTAGAGACCTCACAGCTGTGACGATCCCCACAGATAATCAAGCAGTCCTGGTACTAGCTTCAGTCTTCATGCCGAATGAGGGGGAAATTCCTCCGAGGGAGCTGACCGAGCTGGTACGACACCGCGAGGACCACAAATGGGAGCTGATTGTAGCGGCTGACTGTAACGCACATCACTCACTGTGGGGAAGTAAGGACACAAACAAAAGAGGTGAGTTATTAACTGAATACTTATTCCAAACCAAACTTAACATCATGAACATTGGGACGGAGCCCATATTTGTTAGCTCTAGGTACCAAACTATCATAGATATAACACTAGCGACACACGCGGTGGCCAATCTAATCGAAGGGTGGCACGTGTCAAACGAACCCTCCTTTGCAGACCACCGTAGGATATGTTTCCAATTACAATACAGACAAATAGACCCTGTTCCATATCATAACCCCCGAAAAACAGATATAGCAAGGTACATAGAACTGATAACTAAAACACTAAGCGATATACAAATACATGACGAAATCCCTGACATAAACAACATAGAAACAAACGTACAGCACTTCTTAAAAGCTACGAACTGACGTGTCCTACCATCGTACTTCGGTACGTACGTTCGGCCTGGGTAAAAGTTCCTGGTGGGGGCTGGAACTTGAAAAACTACGTAAGGAACTCAATTTTCAATTAAGCAATGAGGACTGGGACAGATATAAAATAGCACAAAAACACTACTAGTGCAGTCATTGAAGCATTATTGCTCCGATTTTTTTTACTGTGAACCGAATTGCATACAATTTTAGAATTAGGTTCATCTTACCCTTAACTTCAAAAGTGAAAATGATTTGAACTCCGCAACCACCCTGGGGGTGGTTGCCACCCCTTCTCGAAGTGTTATTTTTTTCAAAATAACCTCGGAAAGGCATAATTTTATACAAAAAATCGGCAATTGAAAATTCCCAATTTTTTCACGTTTTTCATCGGTTTTTTGTAAATATCTCCAAAATCCTCCGTTTTATCGAAAATTTTATAAAGAACAAAATTGTAGCAGGTAAAACAGTGAACAATTTGGTTTTTTATAAAGTATTCTAAGTGCAATATTAAGCTAGATATTAAAGATCAAAGCCGTTTTTTATTTTGTCTGAAATTTAATCGATGTGGTCAATGCCATCTAGCGGCGAGCAGATGCTTTTATGCATTCTAATACAAAAGGGTTTTGAAGTGCTTGAAATAAGCTTTAAAATGAGTACTATTAAAAGTCTTTTGCACGTAAAGTAAGTGAGCTGTATTGCAAATAAGGGGAGCATCATAAGTTTTTTCTTTTAAATCAATGGGTTTCATAAGTGTCATTTCCAC